GGGGGGGGGGGGGTCTATTACCTCATTTAATACTATTTGTTTTGCAAACAAAGCCCCCAAAGGACTCCGCCCCCCCTGGAGAGCTTCTGAGACCCAGAGGACGTCCACTTGGGCCCAAAGCAGTGGGCTCAGCTGAGTCTCACCTCCCTCCCCTCCGATCCTCAAGCCCGTATCCCCCTCTTCTGTCCTAACTCAACCTTTCACGCCCCAAGTCCGAAGCCCCTGAGCCTTCTCCCGTGTGAGTTTCACTGAATGACAGGAGCCTGAATGTTTCCCTCTTACCCCGAAAGAGCTATCGAAGTTCTATCTGCGTCGCAAAGAGCTTTCTGAGTGACGCTTACGGAATCTAATGGTCCGCTAAACGTTTCATGTCGTTTCTTTTATCAAATATGTTTTTATTGATTTGAGAGAGAGAGACAGAAACATCGATGATGAGAGAGTCATGGATCGGCCGCCTCCTGGGGATCGAGGGCCTGGGCCCTGACCGGGAATCGAACCGGCGACCTCTTGGTTCTCCGATCAACCACTGAACCACACCGGCTGGGCTCATGTGTTCTCTTTGGTCTGGCCTCAGTCACTCTGATTTTTCTTTCTTTTTTTTAAAAAAAAAAATCTTTATTGCCCGGCCGGGCGTGGCTCAGCGGTTGAGCGTCGACCTGGGATGCAGGCGATCAGGGTTCGATTCCCGGTCAGGGCACATGCCCGGTTGTGGGCTTGATCGATGACTCTCTCATCATTGATGTTTCTGTCTCTCTCTCCCTCTCCTTTCCTCTCTCTGAAATCAATAAAGATATGTGTGGTTTTTTTTTAAAAAATCTTTATTGCTGAGAGGATTGTAGATATTTCCCCCTGCTTTTTACCCCCATGTCCGCCATCCCCTGGTTCCCACCCCTGGGCCTTCCCCACATGATTGCCTGTGTCCGTGGATTATGCGTCTACACATCTAAATTCTTAGGTTCATCTCTTCCCCACCCCCCTTCCCTCTGAGATCCCTCCGTCTGCTCCATGCTTCCATGTCTCTGGATCGATCGTGTTTGTCAATTTATTATGTTCATCAGATTCCACATACACGTGAGACCCTGGGATACGTTTTCTTTCTCTGACGGGCCTATTTCACTGAGCATAATACTCTCCAGGTCCCTCCCCGCTCCCCCAAAGGGCAGGAGACCCTTCGTCGTTCAATCTCCTTACAGCCCTGGCTCCTCGGCTGAGCAGTTTTATACATAACACGAGAGCTTCGGGGCAGATTCCTCAAATTCCTGGCGCTGGCTCAGGCCCTATATTTAACTCCCGGGAGGCATTCCACTTACAGAGCTCAGGATATATCAGGAGCAATGAAAATCGAGGAAAAGACTTCATTTTCTACCCGCTCCGTGTTCACTGTCCAAACCTGAGGGGCTTTTCAACCCGTCTGGGCGGGCGTTGGTCCCGCTGCAATGAACTAATTATTACGAACAGGACAGGAGCAAAGGGAAGGCCGATATTACCGGCCTGGCATCTAGGAAGATACCAACTTTACGCTCCCCAGGGGCCCAACAGACGGAAGACAGACGCATGCCCAGGAAAGTTGGGGGGGGGACTAGGTCACCCCCAGCAGCCAGTCACACCTGGGAACAGGTCATTGGCCAAAACAGGTGTGGCCCCTGCAAGGGCGAGAAATTTGCGATCATTAATCCCCTAAACAAGAGAGTTCACGCTCTTGGTTTCTCTTGGTTAACTCCTGGCTTTGGGGGCTCTCACGGTCCTGCTCCCCTGAATTCTCCCATGTGGCTAAAGGCCGTGCAGACCCCCCACACACGGGACTGATGCATTGGAACGAGCCTGATGCTGGACTGGACTTGGCCGCAAATGGACACTCTGGACACTGGCTTTGCTTCTAGTTCTGCAGAACCCCCAGCTGCACCTCTCCCAGGACGGGACCGAGGGATGTCATTCCAGGCCAATAAAGCCTCTCTACCACATCTCACCCGCCCGTGGGGGCCTCCAGAAATGCTGCTTCCAGCTGCACCCCGAGAACCCCGCCTCCACCGGTGATAACAGTGTGACATCAGAACTCTTATGTTATCGACGCCTGAAGCTGCCTGGACGTAACCGGTCCCTCCCGTATGATGCCTTCCGCAGAGACATTTACCAAAATTTAAACCACGGCTGTTTGCAATCAACAAGCAGCAGCTCCCCCAAAAAGGTATGTCAAATACCCAGAAAAAAAAAGAAAAAAAAAAAGTGACTTTCCTTCCACCCGGCCCCCAAATCCATCCCTGGCTACGAGATCGGAACAACTCTAAGTTTAAAATGAGACATCCTCCAACGCCAGGCATTCAGCCACGCGACGCGTTCGCTCCGAAATTGGGGCTCAGGAGGCAGCAGGCTCGCCGGACGTTTTCTGTTGGTTTTGCAAACAACATGCACCTTTTCTTCTCGGGGGACAGAATTCGGCGGCCCCAGCAGAAATGACCGGTGAGCCTTCATCTGAGCAAGTCTCATGCGAGTCGGGGGGTTTGGCGAGACCTCTGAGGATACAGGGTCACGTCGCTTGGCCCCTGGGTGGCAGGGGGGGGGGGCAAAGCTTCAAAGCTCTGAGGCTCCCCCAATATCGAGGTCACACCGTACACCTATCCTTAGGTGGGTGATATACACTCGTTGCCTTAAAACACAGCCACACCGGCCGGGCTCTACCACGACGTTTAATTGCACCATGATCTGTATAAATTCAGGACCCCTAATGCCAGGGCGCACCAAAGACGGGCCCCGCTGCTCCAGGAGCCCAGGACCCCAGGAAGCAGCCTCTCTGGCCTCTCCCGCGGGGGGGACCCGCCGTCTGATTTCCCACCCCACCTGTAAGCACTGCAGGTACTTACGTGTCCCGAGTGGCCGCTTTCAGGTGACGGCGGGGTGTCACTCAGTACCCCTGTCGGCTCCAAAGGCTCGTCAGCGGGCCTGGCTGCCGGATTTGCACTCTGCTCCTGGGCGTGAGGTGCTGAATTTGCAGGCGGCACCTCAGGGCCACCGAGACAAACCTGCGCAAAACAAAGGACAGGCTTAGGGAGCTTTCCTGCATCTGTCTTTCCAACTCTCCAGCCGCCCTCCGAGGCCCAAGGCCCATCCCGTCCTCTGGGTGCCCAGCGATTTACCCAACACAAGCTCGCCGACGAATGCCCCACGCGCTTGCGAAAGGGACCCCAAGAATCTAAGCAACACTTACTAATATTATCAGTTTTTAATTCTCGCGTTAGGATATTTTTTTCCAGGGTTTTTTGGACAGAGAGAGAGAAACATCGACGTGAGAGAGACACGTCGATGGGTTGCCGGCCTCTCACACGCACCCCAACCGGGGCAGGGATGGAGCCTGCAACTGAGGTCTGTTTTCTTGGTTGGAATCGAACTCGGGACCTTCAGCTCACCTTCGGAAGCTCTAACCGCAGAGCCAGGGCATATGCATAATTTATAAACATCCTGAGCAGGCCATGCCCGGAGCGGGGCACACCCCACCCCCGGCTGACCGCACAGGGAACCCCCAGGACAGACAGGGTGACCGGTGGCCCTGGACACAGCTGCTGCCTCTGTGGCGAGAAGGCCCACCCAGCACAGCCGCGTGGAGCGTGGAGCGCAGGTCCTAGAGGCCCACGCGGGGCTCCCGGCGTGGTCATTCCTCCCGCCCACCAGGTGCTAACTCGTGCTTTCGTTCACAAGCAACCTCGGGCCGACACGTGCCGGCGGGAAACACAGACACGAATCTGCTGCTGCTCGCTCGTGTCAAAGGATCCGAGACACAGCCCTGGGCGGTGTGCTCAGTGGTTAGAGCTTCAGTGCTTAAAATAAAATAATAAAATAAAATAATAAAATAAAATAAAATAAAATAAAATAAAATAATAAAATAAAATAAAATATAAAATAAAATATAAAATAA